ATAAATTTTGACTTGGATGGAGAGTTGTCTCATTGGCACTCATACCAAATCTTTTTATATCTATATATAGGATTATAAGGTTAAAGAAATCGTTTATGTCTTTCAAAAAACGACGTTCAATAAGGGTACACTATGATGCCATCTGAATGAAATGAACGGCATATATGTTATGATACTTTTTACTATGTAGTTTATTTCATATAAGATAAGATAATTTTAGTAACCAATCATGGTGCCCAAAATTTGAGGTATACAATCAAATGAATTACAAAATAAAGCACAGTAAATGATTAGAATGATTAGAATGATTAAAGTACATTTAAACAAAAACATGAATACACATTTAAACAAAGTAACATAATTATAAACCATGTTATTGACAAAACATTACGTTATTTTGGAAGCCACTGTGACCTGGAGAAATTACATTTCTTAATCAATTTATAGCCCTAGGCCTATGGGAGACAACTCCTGATCGATTTTATTATATATTGTTTTCTATTTTTTCAAACTACATTGGTATTTTCTAAGAGTTTCTTTCGTTCTTCAACAAGGGAGTGCAATAATTTAGATAAGTTTGAAGTAACTAACAAATCTTCAGATGAAAGAATCCAAACAAATTTCATTTCATCAGATAACTTTGAAAAAATTTTGAATTTAGAATTTAAATTAGACGGATGTATGTGTAAGCTGGTAACGTATTGAAATGTAAACCATACAACCCATTGTATTATCTATATAGTGTTTAACATAAATCTAAAGTCGAAGTAAAAAAATAATGATGAAGGGTTTGTCTGTTTGAACAAAAACCTATTTCTCGTTAAAATAGGATAACGCATGAAGAATGCCGGGCTTCTTAAATTGTTTAGAATCCCGTATGCTCATCGTAAATGCAGTTTTTAAAGGCACTTCTAAATACATGACCGAACAGCTTTGATCCAATCATATATTTAAGTGTCTAGTTTTAGTTCATCTTGACTTGCGCTTTACTTATTTTCTTTCATATTCATAAGCTGCATCCATCATTAAACGGAAATGGTCGTCCAGTTGATCGGCTCTGAAATTCGATGTTTAGGACCTTCGGCTTACACCTCTCTAAGGCGTTCATTGCTTACAATATTGAGGTCTTCGGTGTTTACATAACCACTATATGTAAGAAGACGATGAACAAGAGCAACCAGAATGTTTGTATTTTACATCCCAAAAGGTAAAGTTTTCTAATTTCCTCTTGTGGTTGAAAATATTGGGTAAAATTGGTAATGTGTAGTCAGATAAATTGACAGGTGTAGTAACCATGTATTGTTTTCTGTATAAATTTTGATGGAAAATATTGATAATTTTGAGGATAGCATTTAGAATCTTCATAATAACTTACTTGTACTTCTTAGTGAAGATGTTTTTAAGAAAGGACACACTGAAAAAAGAAACAGTTTGACATGATCTTTTCTGAGAAGCTTTTGTATTTCTCATATATGGTTTCTGGAAATAAATAATTATCATCATATTCATGCAATGCGATACCAACATGAACAATTCAATTCAACAGTCAGGCTATATTTTCTACTAAGGAATCTAAGGAAATGCCATTAAATTTAAATATGTTGGTACTTTTACAATGTATATCGATTTTTGTTAAGTACGTAAAACTATATTATATTGGATCTTGACAAGACTACAAGGTATTATAAAGGAAAAACAAGTCCACGGAGTTATATGTACCTATTTGATAGGGCCTAACATTACAACGATTAAACAACAATAAAAAAACTATCCTACAACGAATAAGGATATTGCAAAGCTTAACATGCATTTATAATGTTAAGAAAAAGCGTCTTTTATGAAAACTAATGATCTGTATAAGAATTGTTATTTCAACCGTTCTTCCTCATAACTAATGTTTCTCATTTGTTACACCTCACACAAAATTTTTCAACGATATACTTCAGTACATGACAATAGTCAATCATTATCTAGTTATGTTGTATATTCTGATTAGAATTTTTATCAGAATTTAATTCCAGATTTTGCTTATATATAAATGGAAGTGAAGAGCAGTTGTACAATGATTCCCTTCACAGTGTACTACTTTTCGTAAATAAGTCTTAAACTGTAACCTACCTTATTTAATTAGCAATTGTATTTATTACCCTATATGTTATTTTGTTCTCGTCTATTTCTTCATTGCATGTGAATGTTATGCGTTTCTTGCTTTTTCACAATATTCTGATGTTTTTTGTCTTCATTAAAGTCATTATGAAGACTTTTAACACCTAATTATTTTGTTTTAGAGTAGTAAGGTTGTTATTTCTTTTAAGTATACAAAACAAGTTTGTTTATCCATACAGTATAGCTCAAAACTGGAATCTAGTTTGTTACATTATGGTTTATTTTCAATTTTGTTTTATTTCTATTTCAATCTATCGCGCGAAGAGCATGAGAGTACAATATATGTATGTTGTAAATGTACGTATTTGTGTGTATTTGAACATTTAAAAATAAAGAGCATACGATTATCTTTAAAACATGTTTTAAGGTTTAAGGTTTTTAAACTTGCATAAGTTGAAAATCAAATCGATGTTTAAAACAAGTGCAGCAACATAAGAATATGCTGGGTCAGCGTGGAGTGAACAATACATTATATGATATGATATTTCTTCTACATGTGGGGCTGGATCTAGACCACATAAGATCACATAATATCACCCCAGGTTTTTTAAGAAGTTGGTGTTGCTCAGTCTTTAGTTTTCTATGTTGTGGTTTGTAAACTATTGTTTGTCTTTTGGTCGTTTTTCGTTTTATAGCCATGGCATTGTCACTTTATTTTCGACTTTGGTATATTTCGCCTCTCTTTTGTGCCTACATAAACCGTACTATACATACAGAAAAACGGGATATAAAAAATACAATTACACCAATAAAGTATACTTTAACCTAAGGTTTATGTTTCACCTTGATGAGAATAGATCCTTTCTCTGCTAACCATCTATTTGCTCCAACCATACTGTTCGTTGCATGACACGTATAAATACCATCATTTTCGTGCGATCTGTTTTTACTATTTGATTTTAAAATAGTCAATTTACCGTCATTTAATCCTTTAAAACTTCGAACATATTCATTAAATTCAGAAGGGTGCTCCCAATAGTTAACAGTGTAATTATAAGGCTCTCCTCCTCGTGATTTACAATCGATTGTTATTTTGTGTTCAAAATTTGTATACGTTATTTCCATAACCAGAGGACCTATCAAATAAAACTTTAAATATAGTTAATGAAAGCATCATCCTGAAATGCATACCATAAAATATAATGATTACCAAGACTAGTTATGATTGACTGTCAACAGTGATTGGTTTCTTTTGTATATACGGAGATGTTTACCTTGTTGGTGCACCCGAACGCACTAACTTTTGATTTCCTCGGTCTTTGCTTTGTACGTTGCTTTGTATATCCCAATGGATTGATGAGAATTGAACAACGTAAGATTAATGCTACCTTTAATTTACGTTGATAATATGGTCCTAATCGGTTCCATATACCAGTGCATATACTTATCATAAATTTGCAACATTGACGAAAGAAATAACATTGGTTGGAAGATACCGTTACCGCTAGTGACACTCAAAACTCAAGACGACCAACAGTTTTACGATTTTACAATACACTATCATAATAATTTTATTCACAAAACATTATATAGAAAACTAGAGATTGAGCAACATGAACCCAATTAAATATGGAGGGAAATCCAATTGCAAGATAATGAAGATTTTGGTCCACTTATGGACCCCGTCGTGTTTACACGTAATCTCATGCGTTAATATCACAATTACAGAAAAGAGAACAAGATTGTGATTAAGACGATTAGAACATAACTGAGGTTATCCGTGACAAAGATTTGCCATTACTGTTAACCGCCTTGTTATGGCTCTCGTAAAATTTTCGAAGAGAGAACTTAAACTTTACCTCTGGAATCCTTGGTTGGAAACACAAACGCTGGAATATCGTATTAACTGGGATATATGCATTTCATATGTAAGCGCTGTCGAAATGCTGCTGCATAAACAGCTACATACTATTATAAAGATATATATAATTTTATATACACAAAAGATTTTTCTCCTTATGTTTTGTTAGATTTATTCAACGAGTATATCATGTATATGGATAAAGGCACAGAAAATATTTTCGGCATTTTTATCCAATCTTAAAATATGCCATTGATATATCTTCCTATGTCTTTGTATTATTTTATTACTCGGTCATGTATCATGAAACATACACATTTTTATAGTGCTAAAGAATCACATTTCGATTGAGGGCACAGTTGTATGTCCTTTTAGGTTAAACATGTCTTACCCAGTGAATAAAACAAACATAGCATCAATAACTTGAAAACACTGGCATAAAGCAACTTCAAATTGGTGTTATAGATATTCATACCTGTAAGAAAAAAGTAGATAGTTATTACAAAAGGGATATGTTTTGTGATTGCTAATTTTATTGAAAAGACAGACTTATGAACAGCTTTTGTCGATATGTGTCATTACACTTGGACCTTTTCAAAGAGGTTCAAAACATAAAACGTTCATTAGGCTTAGAAATATCTGAAACGGATGATGACGGTTTGTATTCTGTTATAATTCTTATATGATTTGCATAGTAGGGAATACGTTTATATGATTGATCAAGAAGCCCTCCGGTAGTGGCTCTTGACGTTTTTTATTTTTCGATAGACGACGTTGACGGAATTACTTTTTGTAACCAATGTAACCAAGATGGTGGCGATAATTACACAATCCGGCTCGACGTTAAAAATATTCTTTTTGACTTCGCGTTCATCGTTAAATCTAATAATAATGGAGATTATAAAAATTTTATATTTTCAATAATCTGGTTTAATTTAATCAAATATTTGTGTGGGTGTGTGGGTGTTGCAGCCTTTAGCTCATTGCCATATTTGGCATGGCCATAGATGGCGCTCTCAGGTGAATCTGAATTTTGGAATTCCCGTATCGGGCACTTGTTAATTTGCTGTCGACAACAAAGCAGGTGCTGCAGAAATTAGTTAAATTATTCAAACGAAAAGATGCCAAACAAAAGAAATGCCAGGGGATCGCCATCAAGGGCCATTGGAAAGAAGAGGAGGACGACCAGCGGGAAAGAAGGACAGTGAGTGCGGAACGAAGAAATCACTCAAAAGAAGGACGGAGTTGGACGGAAAAGAATGGTCAGGAAAACACAGGAGGTTGGCCACGTGGAGACACAAGGACCAGAAGAAAATGCTGAAATATCATCAGGTAATGAGTCGGAGGAGGATGCACGGGCATTCCCCTCTTTTAGGCACGACCCGTCACACAAAAATTTTTAAATGGCAAATAATTCCATTGATTTCACTCCGACACAAGAGTCTCGCATTCATGACACAGTAGGGGAACACGTGCCTTTTAAAATTAAGGAAAAGATTTGGGAGGGAAAGTTTATAGAGCTTCATTATCTTTTGAGAACGCAAAAAGAAATGGAGGAGGTTGACGAGGGCGATTTGAAATTAACAAGAGGCTCTCAAGAGCCTGAATCGCTCACCTGTATTTCAGAGGAGAAGATTTTTAAATGTTAGCAAACTTGATGAACAAATTGTGTAAAATTGTCTTTAAAGGGCAATAACTCCTTAAGGGGTCAATTGGCAATTATGGTCATATTGACTTTTTTGTAGATCTTACTTTGCTGAACATTATTGCTGCTTACAGTTTATATATATCTATAATACTATTCAAAATAATAACAACAAAAAAACTGCTTCGCTGAGCGCAGCTGGATACGCCCGCAGAGGTCCAACCCTGAACAGTTGGGGCAAAAATGGGCACAATATTCAAGCTTGATACAGGTCTGAATTTGGATTGTATTAAATATTTGACATATTATAGGTTTCTGAATAAATGTAGTCAAGAACTTGAAATTGGTTATATGAATTGAATTTATATAAAGATTTCTTGCTGTTGTGCAATACACTGTGCTGTTGCGCAATACTTAGTAAATCTGTTGTCAGACTATAAACAATTAATGTTCAATTAATTCTCAATGTCATATTAGAAATTTATGAAAATGTAAAGGGAGCTTACATCAATAGATATAAACAATTCACCAAAGTTTCATGAGAATTGCTGACAGCATTTTTGAGTTATTGTCCGAAAACTGGAAAATCCCCCCTTTTTTAATGAATAAAACCCCATAACTCAGAAATGTAAAATGTAAAATTTATAAAATTCTAAACAGAGCTTACATCAATAGATATAAACAATTCACCAAAGTTTCATAAGAACTGCTGAAAGCATTTTTGATTTTTTGTCAGAAAACTGGAAAATCCCCCTTTTTATGAATAAAACCCTGTAACTCGGAAACGTAAAATCTAAAATATATAAAAATCAAAAGGTAGCTCATGTCAATAGATATGAACAATTCACCACAATTTCTTGCAAGTTGGTGAAAGCATTCTTGAGTTATTGTCTGAAAACTGGAAAATCCCCCTTTTTTTAATGAATAAAACCCCATAACTCGGAAACGTAAAATCTAAAACTTATAAAAAACAAAAGGGAGCTCACGTCAATAGATATAAATAATTCACCAAAGTTTTATGCAAATTGGTAAAAGCGTTTTTGAGTTAATGTCCGACATGTTGACGACGGACGGACAGACGGACAGACGGACGGACAGACGGACAACGGTATACCATAATACGTCCCGTAAACGGGCGTATAAAAACTGCAAAATTTTGTTAAAACTACCAATTCGGTGGCAGCAACCCAACAATGGGTTGTTCGATTCGTCTGAAAATTTCAGAGCTGATAGATCTTGACCAATTGAACAATTTTACCCCATGTCAGATTTGCTCTAAAAGCTTTAGTTTTTGAGATATAAGCCAAAAACTGCATTTGACCTCTATGTTCTATTTTTAGCCATGGCGGCCATGTTTGTCGATGGATCAAAACTTCGGATACAATTTATAAACTAGATACCCTAAGGAACATTTAGTTAAAGTTTGAAGGTATTTGGCCCAGTAGTTTCAGAGAAGAAGATTTTTGAAATAGTTTACGACGACAGACGACGACAGACGACGACGACGACAGACGAGGGACGACGACAGACGCCAAGTGATGGCATAACCGGTGAGCTAAAAAGGGGGAAAATTTGCATTGAAAAAAGATCGTCGGGTGTTTATTTGTCCATAAATGAATGGACTTCAGCATTCATGGTTTTTATGAGTGTCTACATTGAGAAATACAGGACACGGGCACAGGAATTGTTAAAATATATGCGCGATATAAGATTAGCGGCAACGAGGTCAGAAAACTGGGCCACCTATGACGAGCAATTTAGGCTAAAAATAGAAAAGAATCCAAATTTATCTTGGGGAAACATACACGGTGAATATTGGCTATTACACATCACATCTCCAACAGTACAAACCAATGTGTCAGTGCAATCACAGGGTTATAGAACAAATACACAAAATTGTGGTCATTAACTCAAATGCAGCTACACTTTCAAACACTAACACGAGAACACATCAACAATCACATGTAACTATTGGAAGTGTAAATATGTCATGTAAATACTATAATAATGGTAATGACTGTCCCTACTTCCCTCGTTGTAGGTTTAAACATGTATGTGAAATATGCAGTGGCAAACACAGAAAGGCCTAATGTAATAACCGGGCCCAAGGAAGAAGTAACAAAAAGTATTAATTTTTATTCATTAGGAAATACTCCTGTTAAGGTAGATAGGGTGTCTTCCTCCATCTTGGATTTTGAAATACCAGAAAATAATCGGTCTAGACCTTTAATAAAATGTGCAAATTTTGAGAGTAGTGGGTAATTCATGTGTAAGAATTTACATTTTAATATAGAAAATGACATGCTTAATTATATTTATGGTTGTATTTTACAAAAAACAGAATACTTTTGTTTGATTCAATTTTTTCTAACTTTGCCACATAAGGGGAGGCAACTCAAATGTAAGGGCAGATAATTCAAATATTGTTACTTTTACAATAGAATGTGTTAGGAATTTATATATTTTATTATGTAGCAAGAAAACGGGCCCGGTGACCCCATTTTTTCTTTTTCTTATCTGAAAGTATAATATTAGAGCTATCTTCTCATGTTTTATCTCAAAATTCTATGGTGCAGTTTTCGTTTTATGGCAGAAAATTGCGTTTTCCATGCATAATCTATACAAAATCTGTCAATTTTGCACAACCTGTAGCGTGAAAATAAGCCCCATTCTTTTTATTATTTTTTCCAAAAAAGCATGATATAAACTACATTTTGGCAAATTATTAAAAAATTCTATGGATTATAATTTAGACACCCCATCTACCTTAAAGTATCGGTCTTGGAAAATTATTTAGAATTTTACCCACATAACAATGCAGCACATGAAATTATATCTGGTTTCAAATATGGTTTTTCATTAAAATATTTTGGCTCTAGGGAACCAAGGGAGAGTTCCAATTTAAAAAGTGCATTACAGCTACCCAACATTTTTAAAGAAAAATTAATGAAGGAAGTTAAACTTGGTCCCATTGCTGGTCCTTTCAGATACCCGCCTTTTCCCACACTTCAGGTATCACCAATGGAGCTAGTGCCAAAAAAGGATGGGGATTTTAGACTTATTCAACGTTTATCCTATCCTGAGAATAATTCAATAAATGATTTTATTGATAAAGATCATTGTTCAGTGCAGTACAGTTCAGTGGACGAAGCAGCATGTTTGATTAATAGACACAAAACATTTGCCCGTTTAAGTCAGTGTGATGTAAAAGCGGCTTTTCGCTTGTTGCAAATTGCCCCGCAGGATTTTGACTAATGTTAGGGATAAAATTTCAGGGTGAATATTATCTTAATAAAATGATGCCAATGGGGCCTCAATAAGTTGTGCCCTGTGGGAGAAATTTGCAAAAGCTTTGCATTGGATAATACAGCAAAAAAGCGGAAATGATAATATCCTCCATTATTTAGATGATTTTCTTTTTGTCGAGTCGAGCCAAACATCAAAAGTTGGCAATACTTTGAAGATATTCCAAGAGGTATGCGACAAAATAGGTATTCCTCTTGCTAGTGACAAGACTACTTTGCCTACTACATTACTCATTTTTTTGGGTATAGAATTTGATACACAGAATTTAATCATGCGGCTTCCAAATGAAAAACTTGTAAAACTCTCACAAAAAATCAGAGATACCTTAGACAGTTCTAAAATAACTCTTAAAGATATGCAATCTCTTCTTGGGCTCCTGAATTTTTCTTGTAAGGTGGTTGCTCCAGGCCGCACCTTCTGTCGCAGACTCATAAATTCAACAGTTGGGGTAAGAAAATCATATTACAAAATTCGAGTACACAAGCAGATGAAAGCAGATTTAGAAGTTTGGTTAGACTTTTTAAAACAATACAATGGTGTCACTGTAATAACCGACAATGTATAGTTTTCAAATGAAAAATTAGAGTTGTTCACGGATAGTGCAGGGGGGGTCCAAAGGTGGGTATGGGATCTATTTTGCAGGTCAGTGGGCCCAAGGCATATGGCCGAAACATTGGGTTGAAACTGGAATCACCAGAGATATGACATTGTTAGAGTTGTTTCCAGTTGTAGCAGCACTTATGTCCTGGGAATCATATTTTGTTAACAAAAAAGTTATTTTTCATGTTGATAATCAGGCGGTTGTTCAAATCATTAATACGAAAACTAGCAAATCAAGTAGAGTTATGACTTTAGTAAGACAAATGGTTTTAATGAACTTAAAAAACAATACGTCAGTTAAGGCAATTTATATCCCTTCAAAACAAAACCAAATTGCTGATTGTCTTTCTCGTTCTCAGTGGGGGAAGTTCAGAAGCCTAGCTCCAGAAGCAGACCAGTGGCCAACCAAAATTAAGTTACTTTATTGATACCTGAGAACAGAAAAAACTACTGTCCGATACGACTCATTAACGAATACTTAAAGGTACGACCTACCTGTAACAATAAAGATTTGTTTATTCATTATAATGGTATGCCTTTAACTAGATACCAATTCAGCAGTATACTGGAAAAGATTTACATTTTCTTCATATTAGTAAAGGTCATTTTAGGTCACATAGTTTTAGCATTGGGGGAGCCACGGAACTCAGAGGAGGTAATTATGAAATTAGACAGATGGAAATCGCATGCTTATTCTCGCTATATTAGGTTGCAATTTTTCTAGTTTCAAAAGGCTAACAAGCTACAAGTGTTCACAAGTCCCAAGATTTTATGGATTGTTGGAAGTTCCCTTGTTCATTGGGCCAATGTAGAGGCGAAGAAATATGGTAGGACCAACCTGGGACTGGAGTCCAAAGGTGTTACAACATACTGGATTGGGCAACCTGGTTTACAGATTAAAGATTTGGACTCCCTACTGGATGCAAAAAGAAAATTTTTACCTTCTCCTAAATTTATTATTATTCACTGTGGAGCTAATGATTTGACAGATTTAGAATTGACAGGGAAGGGTTTAATTGAAAATATAAAATGTTCTATCCTACGTTACCAGGCTTTATTTAAAAATGTTATTATAATATGGTCTTCAATGCTACAGCGCAGATACTGGCATTTTGCACCCTTGAATGCGGGTGCAATAATCGAACGTAAGAGAAAAAGAGTGAATTCAGTGGTCAAAAACTTTGTAATAGAATATGGGGGGAAAGCTATTTTACATGAGAACATTCGGGCAAGTGAAGTGTCTTTATACAGAACAGATGGAACTCATTTATCACAAACTGGAAATCAGGTTTTCTTAAATAATATACAAGGGGGAGGGGGGGGGGGGGGGGGGTTGAGTCTTTCCTACGCACAACAATTTCAACTTTTCCAATGCTTCAATAATGAAAATTTTGTGGAGGTGAGAACCCAAGTCAGATTTGGTAGCTGACTTGGGCTCTCATGTGGCGGTCCAGGAAGACTGGTAGTGATTGGGGGATTATTTCACTCGGCCCTTGCTCTGGGCCTGACAAGTTCTACAATTTGCAGGTTTGGAAAATGTGGTTAGTGGTAACGATGGGGTCTACAGATGGGTAACTCTGGGACCTCCTCCACCTCATCTTATAGAGGGGAGGCCTACACCTGCCAACAGGTGGGGCACTTATAACTGGAGCATTGGTAATACGAGTTTTTTTCCCGGTCTCTCCCCATGGTAGGTGGTGGTGTAACCGTGTTTAACTACCAGGGGTTTTATGACACTATGTCAACATAGGTCAGCTGATAGCCATTGTGTATAGGTAATCGGTAGTCACCCTAGCGCCTCAACAAAATATTATAGAATACTCTGTAGCCAAAGTAATGCCACAAAGTAAAAATGTATATTCTAGTCATGAAAATGTAAATACAAGTTGGTGTAATAAAATGTATGTGTAATTAGAATGATTGTTTTTGTATAAGTTGTAAAAGTTATAAATGAAAAACAGACGATGGAACCTCTATACAAATGAGTATAATATACAGAAAGTCTGTAGTATTTTAATTTTGGTATTTGTGTATTACAATTAACAACAGACAAAGAGAGACAACTCTAGAACAATTTAAATCACTTTGTGATTAAAGGAAGGACTTCAACATAGTTTAGAAAATACGTCAACAACTCTTGATCGTTGTTCTTCATCTCATTGTTATTCGCTCAGTATTAATATAGGGTCTTCTTCTATGAGTATTGCAATTAATAGAGATTATCAAAATTTTATATTTTCAATAATCTGGTTTAACTTTAATCAAATATTTGTGTGGTTGTGTGGGTGTTGCAGCCTCTAGCTCATTGCCATATTTGGCATGGTCATAGATGGCGCTCTCAGGTGGAATCTGAATTTTGGAATTCCCGTCACATGATCGGGCACTTGTTAATTTGCTGTCGACAACAAAGCAGGTGCTGCAGAAATTAGTTGAATTATTTAAAACCCGCCCAAAATAAACACCATTTAGCAATCTGCGTGCAACGGTTCAGAAATGTTTGTAAAAAGTACATAAAGCGCTATAGCTGTCTTGACTTACGTTTGTATGTAATAAACGTTTTCTCTCAAGCCAGAGTGTTGAAACTGATTTATAAAGTTCATTGAAATGTGCGTAATATATCTATATACATTTGATTTTTTTTTTTATCAAACTGAATAACCAACTATCCGTTTGCATCCAATTAGATTGATTACGTTATTAACTGTTGGTGTTTAACGACAGTTTCAGCCCTATTGACTTTACCGTGGCGGTCAGTTTTTATTGGTGGAGGAAGCCGAAGTGTCCGGAGAGGACCACCGACCTTCGGCAGTAAAACCAATAATGTTAATCAGTTAAGATTGGAGTATTACGCACCTGCCACGTGCGGGGTTCGAGGCTAGTGATACAGTAGATGAACTACAAAGACCACTCGGCTACCGAAGCTTCCTATTAAATATTACATCTTTTGTGTATAAACATAATTTTATACATTCTACAATTGTCCAATATAATAAATACTCGATA